GAGCAGAATGTGTGTAACAGCACCGTTTAACACAAACTGATTAAATAGTGCGAAGAGATGACGAGAGAGAATAATACAGAAAGGGGGAGAGGGAGAGTATTAAAGGGAGTATTAAAGAGAGAGAGAGAGAGAGAGAGAGTATAAAAGCATGAGTGAGTGCTAAAGAAAAGGGGGAGTATTACAGAAAGGGGGAGAGTATTAAAGAAAAGGAAAGAGAGTAAGTGTTAAAGAGAAGGAAAGAGTATGAAAGATAAGCAGTAAGGGTAAAAGAGAAAGGCAGAGAGTCTTTGTGACCATGAATATTAAAGGAAAGGAGGAGAGAAAGAGAGAGGGGGAAGAGTCTTAGCAGAAGAGAGAGGAATAAGGAGGGTGGAAGAGCAAGAGTGAGTGTTAGAGACAAAGAAAATTGAAGAAAGTGAAGGAGAGAATTAAAAAGGGAGAGGAAGAGTAGTAGAGAAAAGAGTCTTTGAGGAAAGATAGAGAGTCTTTGAGAAAGGATAGAGAGAGAGTCTTTGAGAAAGGATAGAGAGAGAGTCTTTGAGAAAGGATAGAGAGAGAGTCTTTGAGAAAGGATAGAGTGAGAGTCTTTGAGAAAGGATAGAGTGAGAGTCTTTGAGAAAGGATAGAGTGAGAGTCTTTGAGAAAGGATAGAGAGTCTTTGAGAAAGGATAGAGAGGGAGAGAGTCTTTGAGAAAGGATAGAGAGAGAGTCTTTGAGAAAGGATAGAGAGAGAGAGAGTCTTTGAGAGAGGATAGAGAGTCTTTGAGAGAGGATAGAGAGTCTTTGAGAGAGGATAGAGAGTCTTTGAGAAAGGATAGAGTGAGAGTCTTTGAGAAAGGATAGAGTGAGAGTCTTTGAGAAAGGATAGAGTGAGAGTCTTTGAGAAAGGATAGAGAGTCTTTGAGAGAGGATAGAGAGAGCGAGTCTTTGAGAAAGGATAGAGTGAGAGTCTTTGAGAGGAAAGAGATCGAGTCTTTGAGAAAGGAAAGAGGGAGCGAGTCTTTGAGAAAGGAAAGAGGGAGCGAGTCTTTGAGAAAGGATAGAGGGGAGAGTCTTTGAGAGAGGATAGAGAGAGCGAGTCTTTGAGAGAGGATAGAGAGAGCGAGTCTTTGAGAGAGGATAGAGAGAGAGAGAGAGTCTTTGAGAAAGGATAGAGAGAGAGTCTTTGAGAAAGGATAGAGAGAGAGAGAGAGAGTCTTTGAGAGAGGATAGAGAGTCTTTGAGAAAGGATAGAGAGAGAGAGTCTTTGAGAAAGGATAGAGAGTCTTTGAGAAAGGGTAGAGAGGGAGTCTTTGAGAAAGGATAGAGAGGGAGTCTTTGAGAAAGGATAGAGAGAGAGAGAGTCTTTGAGAGAGGATAGAGAGAGAGAGTCTTTGAGAAAGGATAGAGTGAGAGTCTTTGAGAAAGGATAGAGTGAGAGTCTTTGAGAAAGGATAGAGAGAGAGAGAGTCTTTGAGAGAGGATAGAGAGTCTTTGAGAAAGGATAGAGAGAGAGTCTTTGAGAAAGGATAGAGTGAGAGTCTTTGAGAAAGGATAGAGAGAGAGAGTCTTTGAGAAAGGAAAGAGGGAGCGAGTCTTTGAGAAAGGAAAGAGGGAGCGAGTCTTTGAGAAAGGATAGAGAGGGAGATAGTCTTTGAGAGAGGATAGAGAGAGCGAGTCTTTGAGAGAGGATAGAGAGAGCGAGTCTTTGAGAGAGGATAGAGAGAGCGAGTCTTTGAGAGAGGATAGAGAGAGCGAGTCTTTGAGAGAGGATAGAGAGAGCGAGTCTTTGAGAGAGGATAGAGAGAGCGAGTCTTTGAGAGAGGATAGAGAGTCTTTGAGAAAGGATAGAGAGAGAGAGTCTTTGAGAAAGGATAGAGAGTCTTTGAGAAAGGATAGAGAGAGAGAGTCTTTGAGAAAGGATAGAGAGGGAGAGAGTCTTTGAGAAAGGATAGAGAGAGAGTCTTTGAGAAAGGATAGAGAGAGAGAGAGTCTTTGAGAAAGGATAGAGAGAGAGAGTCTTTGAGAAAGGATAGAGAGGGAGAGAGTCTTTGAGAAAGGATAGAGAGAGAGTCTTTGAGAAAGGATAGAGAGAGAGAGAGTCTTTGAGAAAGGATAGAGAGAGAGAGTCTTTGAGAAAGGATAGAGTGAGAGTCTTTGAGAAAGGATAGAGTGAGAGTCTTTGAGAAAGGATAGAGACAGAGAGTCTTTGAGAAAGGATAGAGAGTCTTTGAGAAAGGATAGAGAGGGAGTCTTTGAGAAAGGATAGAGAGAGAGAGAGTCTTTGAGAGAGGATAGAGAGTCTTTGAGAAAGGATAGAGTGAGAGTCTTTGAGAAAGGATAGAGAGAGAGAGTCTTTGAGAAAGGATAGAGTGAGAGTCTTTGAGAAAGGATAGAGACAGAGAGTCTTTGAGAAAGGATAGAGAGTCTTTGAGAAAGGATAGATAGAGAGTCTTTGAGAAAGGATAGAGAGGGAGTCTTTGAGAAAGGATAGAGAGAGAGAGAGTCTTTGAGAGAGGATAGAGAGAGAGAGTCTTTGAGAAAGGATAGAGAGAGAGTCTTTGAGAAAGGATAGAGTGAGAGTCTTTGAGAAAGGATAGAGAGTCTTTGAGAAAGGATAGAGAGGGAGAGAGTCTTTGAGAAAGGATAGAGAGAGAGTCTTTGAGAAAGGATAGAGAGAGAGAGAGTCTTTGAGAGAGGATAGAGAGTCTTTGAGAAAGGATAGAGTGAGAGTCTTTGAGAAAGGATAGAGTGAGAGTCTTTGAGAAAGGATAGAGTGAGAGTCTTTGAGAAAGGATAGAGTGAGAGTCTTTGAGAAAGGATAGAGAGTCTTTGAGAGAGGATAGAGAGAGCGAGTCTTTGAGAAAGGATAGAGTGAGAGTCTTTGAGAAAGGATAGAGTGAGAGTCTTTGAGAAAGGATAGAGAGTCTTTGAGAAAGGTTAGAGAGAGCGAGTCTTTGAGAAAGGATAGAGAGGGAGAGAGTCTTTGAGAAAGGATAGAGAGAGAGTCTTTGAGAAAGGATAGAGAGAGAGAGAGTCTTTGAGAAAGGATAGAGAGAGAGAGTCTTTGAGAAAGGATAGAGTGAGAGTCTTTGAGAAAGGATAGAGTGAGAGTCTTTGAGAAAGGATAGAGACAGAGAGTCTTTGAGAAAGGATAGAGAGTCTTTGAGAAAGGATAGAGAGGGAGTCTTTGAGAAAGGATAGAGAGAGAGAGAGTCTTTGAGAGAGGATAGAGAGTCTTTGAGAAAGGATAGAGTGAGAGTCTTTGAGAAAGGATAGAGAGAGAGAGTCTTTGAGAAAGGATAGAGTGAGAGTCTTTGAGAAAGGATAGAGACAGAGAGTCTTTGAGAAAGGATAGAGAGTCTTTGAGAAAGGATAGAGAGGGAGTCTTTGAGAAAGGATAGAGAGAGAGAGAGTCTTTGAGAGAGGATAGAGAGAGAGAGTCTTTGAGAAAGGATAGAGAGAGAGTCTTTGAGAAAGGATAGAGTGAGAGTCTTTGAGAAAGGATAGAGAGTCTTTGAGAAAGGATAGAGAGGGAGAGAGTCTTTGAGAAAGGATAGAGAGAGAGTCTTTGAGAAAGGATAGAGTGAGAGTCTTTGAGAAAGGATAGAGTGAGAGTCTTTGAGAAAGGATAGAGTGAGAGTCTTTGAGAAAGGATAGAGAGTCTTTGAGAGAGGATAGAGAGAGCGAGTCTTTGAGAAAGGATAGAGAGGGAGAGAGTCTTTGAGAAAGGATAGAGAGAGAGTCTTTGAGAAAGGATAGAGAGAGAGAGAGTCTTTGAGAGAGGATAGAGAGTCTTTGAGAAAGGATAGAGTGAGAGTCTTTGAGAAAGGATAGAGTGAGAGTCTTTGAGTGAGAGTCTTTGAGAAAGGATAGAGTGAGAGTCTTTGAGAAAGGATAGAGTGAGAGTCTTTGAGTGAGAGTCTTTGAGAAAGGATAGAGTGAGAGTCTTTGAGAAAGGATAGAGTGAGAGTCTTTGAGAAAGGATAGAGAGAGAGTCTTTGAGAAAGGATAGAGAGTCTTTGAGAGAGGATAGAGAGAGCGAGTCTTTTGAGAAAGGATAGAGGGAGCGAGTCTTTGAGAAAGGATAGAGAGGGAGATAGTCTTTGAGAAAGGATAGAGAGAGAGTCTTTGAGAAAGGATAGAGAGTCTTTGAGAGAGGATAGAGAGAGCGAGTCTTTGAGAGAGGATAGAGAGAGCGAGTCTTTGAGAGAGGATAGAGAGAGCGAGTCTTTTGAGAAAGGATAGAGAGAGCGAGTCTTTGAGAAAGGATAGAGGGAGCGAGTCTTTGAGAGAGGATAGAGAGAGCGAGTCTTTTGAGAAAGGATAGAGAGAGCGAGTCTTTGAGAAAGGATAGAGGGAGAGAGTCTTTGAGAGAGGATAGAGAGAGCGAGTCTTTTGAGAAAGGATAGAGAGAGCGAGTCTTTGAGAAAGGAAAGTGAGAGCGAGTCTTTGAGAAAGGAAAGTGAGAGCGAGTCTTTGAGAAAGGATAGAGGGAGCGAGTCTTTGAGAAAGGAAAGAGGTAGCGAGTCTTTGAGAAAGGAAGAGGGAGCGAGTCTTTGAGAAAGGATAGAGGGAGCGAGTCTTTGAGAAAGGATAGAGGGAGCGAGTCTTGAGAAAGGCTAGGGAGAGAGAGTATTATGGGAATCGAAAGAGAGAGTCTTAGAGAACAAGAGAGAAAGAATAAGAAAGCGTGGGACAGAATTAAAGAAAGGGGAGCAAGAGAGTATTAAAAAAAGGTGGAGAAGAAGAAAGAAAGAAAGGACGAAGGAGTATTAATGAAAGGGAGCAGGAGAGGGAAAGAAGGTATTAATGAGGGAGAAAGAGAGAGGGAGGAATAGAGGGAGTAATGAATGAGGAGAATAAGATGTGAACAGTGTTCGTGCTCTGACAGCCATGTGTTGTTTGAGCACGCAGGCATGAATCGGTACCCTGAGGAAATGTTAACTAGAGCACATGAGGGAGGAGTGAGAGGATCTGTGATCTCTGAATGACTCTCTGACTCTTGTGCTGTTTTACAGAGGAGGACGTGGAGAACTTTGAAATGGCCGCCCTGCCTCTGGAAACACAGCGTAACATCGAAGCCGACAGCTTCTGGTGTATGAGCAAGCTTCTGGATGGAATACAGGTGTGTGTGTGTGTGTGTGTGTGTTTGTTTTTGTACATTTTCAGGACAGGAATAAGTGGACTTTTTTTGGAAAATCTGAAATCTACATTTTCATCTTTTAACAAAATGGTCCTTAAAACTGACAGTCCATGAAATCGGGGTGGGCAGAATGGTATGAGCATTTCATGATGAATGGACCAAAGCAAGGATCCAGAATTACTCAGAACGTCTCGTATTAATTTACATGAATGTTTAAGAATGTTTCTCTTGAAAAGTTGCCATTTTGGACATGAGGTTTGGTTTGGACAGCAACGCTATACAATACAGTGTAAAAGTCAGAGACCAGCCTTCATTTATTTAATTTGCAGTCAGAACAGCTGTTAAGTACTGTGGTGCCTAAATGCTAAAACTATGGGCCTGATAGGATTTGTGGCTTTTACTGAGTAACAGAAATAGATGAAAAAGAAGAACAGTTGCAAATCTAAGAAGCTGCTTGTGTTCTCATACAAATGGACTGACCACCCCAGAGTCCAGACCTCAACATAATTTGAATATGAATATGTTTGAGATTACTTGGGTCATATGAAGGAGAAAATGTGCACCAGTGAGCTGAATTTATTGCAGTAATTATTGGATTTATTACTCCTGATTTGATTACAGGAATCTCTAAAGCTTCTCTCAGTGGTGTCACATGAACATTTTAAACTTTTGGTCTCCACCTTCAGTCTGCAACTGTTTTACTTGACTTTAGTTAACTTTTTAACTTTTGGTATGTTTTTAGCAATTCTTTCATTTTTAATATTCTGCTCTTATTTGTGTTAATATTGCCAAGCTATTGTTTTATGTCTTTTATTTCTTTATTTTATTGATTATATATTTATTTATCCTTATTTTTATCTTATTTTGTCAAGTTACTATATTACTATATTGTTGTCATTTTAATGGTTTATTGATTTTAATCTTTTTAGCTTTACTTTTTAGCATTTGTAGCATTTAGCAACTTCTCAATCCCTGGTCTCTGTATTGGCTCGGCTACTTTGTAAATGAAGGTCTCTCTTGATGTACTCCGAGTTTAAATAGAGGTTAACTGATTGATCAAAATGCAGCCAACTTCTAGGACTGAACTTTGAAGGTGTGCAAAAATCTCCCTGCAGATTCCTCTTGAAAAGAACTGAAGCTGTAATAAAAGCAAAAGGTGGACACAGTGAATACTGAAGAATCCTGAGAAATAGAAGTTGAGGCTTTTGTGTCATTTTCTGTTCAATATATCGCTGCTGTCGAAACAAAACCTCAGATCTCCATTTTTGTCGCTTTTCTATTTTTGACATTTGAAAATACTTGTTGTTCTTTACATGGTATGTAAATTTCGTGAAGAAAGAACCAAAATTACTTGGGGAAAAATTCTGGTTCCACTGACTTACATCAAAAATAAAGTATGTTTTTTCCTTCTCCTGTAAAGTTATCATTTTGGAAATATGAGGTTTTGTTCCGACAGCAGTGATATGTTTTCTGCTTTTTTTCCTGACACTGAAAAATGAATAACTTGTACTTAATGGCCATTTTGACTTTGAAAGTAAATAAATGAATCTGGTCTCTGACATTTGCACAGTACTGTATGTACATGATCCCACATTCTGACATAAAAACAAACCTATGTGTGTTTTTGCACGCTGTGTGTGTGTCTGCTCTGTGCTCTCCCACTGTCTGTTTGAAGAAAGAGTTCAGTCAGAGCTTCAGAACAAAAACACAATGTCCTTCTGATAAACTGTATGGATTTTCTTAGATTTCCTGTGTCGTTGTGATAAACTACAGAAGAGATCTGAAGGTCCATGCTGCGAACCTCCTTGGATCTCCTGTAGTTTATCAGCGTGACATTGTGTCTCACACGCTGTTAGGTTGTCTTTTTGAAGAAAAGACAGTGAATACAACTCGCTCAAAGAAGTATACAAGCTGTGGTCGTCAGCCTTGAGGACAGGACACGTCAGCCCAGTGCGTTTTCTCTCTCATACACACAGAGGGGTCAGGGCAGTCTCCTGTAGGCAGGGTCAGTAAAAGCATGTGACTGTCGCCGTTCTGCTGGATTTACTGATCTGAGCCACAGGCTAACACACATACTTGCGTGTATCACTCTCTCGTTCTCTCCATCCCTCTATCCCTCTATATCCATCCATCCAGCCGTTTGTTCTCTTGGGCCGAGACATGATCTGCAGCCCGACAGACGGTCGCTGGCCCTCGCTGACCCTCACCGGCCGCTACGGGCAGAGAATCAGAAACAGAATCACTCCTAATCTGCAGCATGTGTCACACACGTCTCAACTCATTCAGCGCTGCTCATCAGAGAACAACACTGTTAGGGTATACCGAACTGTGCAAAAATCAGAGACCAACTCATTTGTATGACTGAAATGAAAATGGCCATTATGTATAAATTATTCATTCATATTTCTCGGGAGATGAAATCTAAGATAAACTAATTATACAACGAAGGGGAAAGTTTAATTAAAATAAGTGAAAAAACAGGAGTTTTCATAACTGACTCCTAACAACCATGCAAGTCCTGGTAGACCACCAAGACTTGTAGATCTCCATTAGATAAACAGCACTTAAAGCTTTCACCTGTAAGAGAGAGGAGAAAACCAAGCTGCTTCAGATCTGAAAAAACTCCACAGGTGTTTCTGTCCATCCTGCCACTGTGAGAAGACAACTCTGAAAGGATGTGTCGTTGTCAAGAAGGCTTTACTGAGAAAAGGAAATAGAAGAAAATTCAAATCAGTACATCAAACAAAGAAGCTGCTAGTGTTCTCAGAATGATGGACTGGCCACACCAGCGGCCTGACCTCAACATATACTATATTGCCAAAAGTATTCACTCACCCATCCAATTCATTGAATTCAGGTGTTCCAATCACTTCCACAGGTGTATAAAACCAAGCACCTAGGCCTGCAGACTGCTTCTACAAACATTAGTGAAAGAATGGGTCGCTCTCAGGAGCTCAGTGAATTCCAGCCTGGTACCGTGATAGGATGCCACTTGCGCAAGTCCAGTCGTGAAATTTTCTCACTACTAAATATTCCACAGTCAACTGTCAGTGGTATTATAGCAAAGTGGAAGCGATTGGGAACGACAGCACGTAAAATGACAGAGCGGGGTCAGCGGATGCTGAGGTCGCCAACTTTCTGCAGTCAGTCGCTACAGACCTCCAAACTTCATGTGGCCTTCAGATTAGCTCAAGAACAGCATAGAGAGCTTCATGGAATGGGTTTCCATGGCCGAGCAGCTGCATCCAAGCCTTACATCACCAAGCGCAATGCAGAGCGTCGAATGCAGTGGTGTAAAGCGCCACCACTGGACTCGAGAGCAGTGGAGACGTGTTTTCTGGAGTGACGAATCACGGTTCTCCGTCTGGCAATCCGATGGACGAGTCTGGGTTTGGCGGTTGCCAGGAGAACGGTACTTGTCTGACTGCATTGTGCCAAGTGTAAAGTTTGGTGGGGGGGATTATGGTGTGGGGTTCTTTTTCAGGAATTGGGCTCGGCTCCTCTTAATGCTTCAGCAGACCAAGAGATTTTGGGCAATTTCATGCTCCCAACTTTGTGGGAACAGTTTGGGGACGGCCCCTTCCTGTTCCAACATGACTGCGCACCAGTGCACAAAGCAAGGTCCATAAAGACATGGATGAGCGAGTTTGGTGTGGAAGAACTTGACTGGCCTGCACAGAGTCCTGACCTCAACCCGATAGAACACTTTTGGGATTAATTAGAGTGGAGACTGCGAGCCAGGCCTTCTTGTCCAACAGTGTCTGACCTCACAAATGTGCTTCTGGAAGAATGGTCAAAAATTTTCATAAACACACTCCTAAACCTTGTGGAAAGCCTTCCCAGAAGAGTTGAAGCTGTTATAGCTGCAAAGGGTGGGCTGACATCATATTAAACCCTATGGATTAAGAATGGAATGTCACTCAAGTACATATGCATGTGAAGGCAGACCAGTGAATACTTTTGGCAGTATAGTGTAGTTAAATGTGTTTGAGAGGACTTTACAAAACGAGAAGAAAATTTGCACTGGAACACCAAAACTAGACATCTAAGATGTTGAGTCAGTTTTGTGGACTGAAGAGTCCAAATTTGTAACTGGGGTTATTTGGATTGTTCATCTTTTCATTCATTCATTCATTCATCGTCTTTAACCGCTTAATCCAGATGAGATCGCAGTAGCAGGTGGGAGAGCAGGGAAACCCAGACGACCCTGTCCCCCGGCAACTTCCTCCAGCTCATTCCGGGGGTCCCCGAGCAGCTCCCAGGCCAACTTGGAGATATAATCCCTCCAGCGGGTCCTAGGACGACCTCGGGGTCTTGTCCCAGTAGGCCGTGCCTGGTAACCACCCCACCGGGAGGCATCCAGGGATCATCTTGATCAGATGCCCGAACCACCTCAACTGGCTCCTCTCAATTTGGAGGAGTAGCCGCTCTACACCGAGCTCCTCCTGGATGACCGAGCCCCTCACCCTATCAAGTAGACTGCTGCCGCCTGTCCCAGCCTGCGGCCGATCTCACAATTCTCATCGCATGAACAAGACCCTGAGAAACTCCTCCACCTGGGGCAGGTCCTTTCCCCTAACCTGGAGTGGGAATGCCATCCTTTTCCGGGCTAGTACCATGGACTCCAACCACTTCACACTCAGCTGAGTGTAATTTGGATTATGAGAAACAGTAAATACAACCAACTTCTACGACTGAACTTTGGACATGTGGAAAAATCACCCTGCAGTTTTTTTTTTCTTTGAAAAACTGAAAGCAGGTCTCTTAAAAAGAATAGAAGCTGGAATAAAGGCTAAGAGTGGACACACTAAATACTGTAAAATAGTAGTAGAACACACAGATATGTAAGAACACACTGCCTTTCAGAAGTCTGGAATCACTTGTCATTTAAATGACTTGTTTTATATTGTTGCTGTAACAAAACTGTGTCCGATATGGTCGCTTTTCTTTTAAAACAAAGAACTGGCTCTAGTGCTTCTGCAAGATAAGTTTTCAAGATGCAGTTAGGTAATTACAGTGAATACAGTTACACAGTGTGCTGTTTGTTGGCTGCAGTGCACTGTGTTCTTTCTGAAAGTGTACAGAACATCATTCTTGATGTAGAGCAGTAGAGAGACACAATAGTGCTGGCAGAAGCTTGGCAAGTGTGAAGCGAGGGGTTCTGTGTGTGGGAGAGTTAAAGAAAGAGAGAGAAAAAAGCAGTGAGAAAAGACAAAAGAGAAGGGAGAGGAGGCGATGGAGAGACTGAGAGGGAGAAAGAAAAAGAGAACACTCTGAGTGGTTTCAGTTAATTAAGCTCAGCGCTACGCAGCAGTGCAGCATTAAAAGCAGTGCTAATAGAAAGCCATTTAGGGAAGTAGTGTGTCTATCAGTGTTACTGATGATGTATGTTTTGCTCTTGCAGGATAACTACACATTTGCTCAGCCTGGCATTCAGACCAAAGTGAAGGCTCTGGAGGAGCTCGTCAGCAGGATAGACGGTGAGACCTGCATCCTTATAGCAGTCCATTCTGAGGGGTGTGTGTGTGAAAACATACACATATATGTATATATATATGTGTGTGTGTGTGTGTGTATGTATATATATATGTGTGTGTGTGTGTGTGTGTGTGTGTGTATGTATATATATATGTGTGTGTGTGTGTGTGTGTGTGTGTGTGTATATATATATACATATATATATATATATATATATATATATATATATATATATATATATGTATATATGTATGTGTATATATATGTGTATATATATATGTGTGTGTGTATATATATATATATATGTATGTGTGTATATATATATGTATGTGTGTGTATGTGTATATATATATATGTGTGTGTGTGTATATATATGTATGTGTGTGTGTGTGTATGTATGTATATATATATATATATATATATATATATATGTGTGTGTGTGTGTGTGTGTGTGTGTGTATGTATGTGTGTGTGTATATATATATATGTGTGTGTGTGTGTATATGTATGTATATATCTCAACTAGTTGTATTTTTCTTGTTTCTGCAGAGCACAGTTTCTAAACTCTTGTAATATAACTTGTTTCTTTTGTAAAGCCTCATTTTATTAGCTTTATATTGTTACAATAATGCTAATTTTTACTAGCATCTGTTTGTGAATCAATATATTATTTTCACACTAAGCTAATCGAGGTCGACTTTCCCATTTACACGCTGGATTTCATATTTACGGCAGCTTTACATGAAGGAAACATTTGAAGTTGGAAAGACATGCATGTAAAATATTTCACTTTCAATTCATGAGTCCTTGAGAAAGTATTTCAATTTCGAGCTGTGCTATAAATTTTGCTGACTGTTAGCCCGTTAGCTGTTTGGGCCGTCTGTGAGACTGTCAATTGATAGCCAGTTTAACTAAGCCATAAGCTGTGTTCCAAAGCCTAGGCTGCAGCCGAGGTAGGTCGGGTCCTCAGTAGGACTGTTCTATGATGACTGGATCACACAAATGGATCAGTCCTAACAAGGCTGCATGGTGACGTAACCAGAAAGATCCCTCTCTTGCAATTGCAGCGCGAAACTTGTGAGGATTTGAGATAAAATGGAGCCCGTTGCCTTGTGTTTGTTGCTTTTTCATTTCTTCACAGAAATGGAGATGTTCTTATGTAGTACAATAAATTACACATACACAAATACATCGCAATAAAATGTGATATATGTATAAATGCTTTAGTCATTACGCTTTATGAGGTAACGAAGATGAATTCTAGTATGTGAACAACTTACATTTTAAAACAAGCTCTGCTCCAATGGCTTTGTTTTGCGCCATTTTCGTAGTGCTGGTTTGTTTTTTTGTTTTTTTTAACAACAACAACATTTATTTGTATAGTGCTTTTTACAACTAGTGTTGTCTCGAAGCAGCTTTACAGCAAAGCAGTTTATGGAAGTTTATTTTATTCAAAAGAATAAAAAAGAAAATGAAAAGGAGTCCGTATATGGACATAAGGAACTAAATTCAGGTCCAAGCCCCCCATGAGCAAGCCAGAGGTGAAAAACTCCCTAGGAGTAAGAGGAAGAAACCTCGAGAGGAACCTAGGCTCAAGGGAGGAACCCATCCTCCTCTGGTCAACCCCGGATGAAGAGAGACTGACATAGCTAATGAGATTTTATGGCAAGATACAACGAAGAAGCTTAGAGCTTGAACATCTGTCAGAAATATTCTGATTAAATCAGGAGGAAGTAATGTAAAGTTAGGTTCTCTCTCAAAGCGAGACATAGGGTTCATGATCAGTGCCAGATACTGGTGGCTCCACTGTGGTAATTCTAGTCATGCAGGCTGACGAGCAGGAGAGCATCATCAGGTCAGGCAGGAGGGGCAGGTAATCAGCCAACAGGGATGGAGCTCTGGTGACTCTAGCAGCTCTGGTGGCACCCATATGACAACTCAGGCAAAAGTCGCTCAGGGGGCTCAAATAAAGAGAGAGAGAGATATTGATTAGCAGGATGGGCAGGTATTGCAACTTGTCATAAGATTTAGTGCTTGTAAATCCTGGAGAATAATTCCACGATGCTGGTAGCTCCTTGATGTTCCAAAATTATCCATCAGGATCAAGCGGGGAGGACAGTCATCAGCTCATAGAGAAGATAGAAGGAGAGAGAGAGCAAGAGAGAGGCAAACAGTTTGTAAGTTAAGTCCGTTTATGGAGATATGTTAGAGAGTAATAGTGCAAACTCCCGAACAGAGGTTGGGAGATGATTCCACAATTTCGGGGCTACGTAGAAAAATGCTCGACCACCTGCTGTGGTTTTTCTAATTCAAGGAACTGTCAGCAAGCCGCTATTTTGTGAGCGGAACATGCGTCTGGGTTCGTATGATTGAGTTAATTCACTAAGATACAGCAGGGCCAAGCCATTTAATGATTTATACATTAAGAGAAGAATCTTGTACTCTACACGAAATTTAACAGGTAGCCAGTGTCATGACGACAGGATTGGGTATATATGGTCAAATTTTTGGTCCTTGTAAGGACTCTAGCAGCTGCATTCTGGACGAGTTGGTGCTTATTTAGTAATTAGTTGGAGCATCCAGCTAAAAGGGTGTTAGTTATAAAGGCATGCACCAGCTTTTACGCATCTTTTAGGGATAGAGTATTACGTAGTTTAGCGATGTTACGCAAGTGAATGAATGCGGTTCTAACGATGTTGCAAATGTGTGTATCAAAAGAGAGACTGGAATCGAAGATGATGCCTAGATTTTTTACAGTAGTGCTTGGAATGACCGTATGGCCATCTAAATTTAGTACAAATTTGGAGAGTTGAGACCTCACTGCTTTGGGTAGGACCTCAGTTTTGTTTGGATTAAGAAGAAGCAAATTGTTGGTCATCCAGCCTTTGATATTTTTACCACATTCTTCAAGTTTGTTTAGATTCAGAGCCTCATTTGGTTTAGCAGATATGTAAAGTTGTGTGTCGTCCGCATAGCAGTGAAAACTAACGCTGAACCTGCGAATATGTTACCAAGAGGCTTGTACAGAGAGAAAAGCAGCGGCCCGAGCACTGATCCTTGGGGGACACCATATTTTACTAGCATACAATCAGAGTGTTTATTGTTAACACTGACAAATTGATTATGATCAGTCAGATAGGATTGGAACCATGACAAAGCCTGTCCTTTAATACCAACCAGCCTATCAAAGAAGATCTTGTGGTCGATAGTATCAAACGCTGCGCTGAGATCTAGAAGAACTAGTATGGAAATATGGCCAGAGACACAAGAAGATCATTTACTACTCTAGTTAATGCTGTTTCAGTACTGTGAAAGGGTCTTTGTTTTCCTTTGCGGTGTTCATGCACAGAGAACTGTTGCGTCCTCAAAATCTCTCAGAACGTAGGCTGCACTTTGGAACAGTCTTCTATGACGTAGCGGCCGAGAAATGCAGCCTACCTCGGCTGTAGCCTAGGCTTTGGAACGTAGTAATATTCTTTTATAGGGTCTGATTAGCATGGTTACAGACATTTTACACCTTATGCATGCAATTTGTGACTGGAAACATACATTATGTGCCTTCACACGTTCTCTGCAGTTGTAGGTTGCAAGCTGTGTGTATATGAAGCAGACAGTAGTTGAACAAAGTGCATTGACATTTGAAAAGCTTTTAACTAGAATTACTTTAATATGGCAAACCTAAAAAATGAAACTTGTATTTTTAAATTTTTTTAGTAGTTTTAACAGTGCAGAGAGGGTGAACCCGACATTCAGAAACATTTCTAAGAATATCATTAACATCACTTCTGAGTATCAGTTCGGCAGCAATTAGGTGAGCCATTAAAGCACCTGCCTACTGTTCTCTCTCCTTTCTTGTAAAGGTTGTTTCTTTTTTTGGGTTCATGTGACTCAAACCTCTCGACGTGCGAGGGCTGATCTGAAATCAGCGTTTATATTGAACATCTCTTCATGATTGCATTTGTACAATACTCAATTATTTTAAATAAGAGTGCTAATCTCTGGTCCATTTCAGCCTTTCAGATCTTTATGAATACTAAAATTATTATCAAGTACTTTGAAACTTTATGACAAAGGAAACAAAACTTAACATACCAAGACTGGAGTGGCTCTAAGACCCAGCTTTAATCTTTGGCAGTGCTTCTCCTTTGAACAGTGAGATCCACTGGAACTGATTTCTCCCCTTTCTAATCTCAGGAGGGCTCAGTTACCTCAGAGACCCTCTCTGATACACTCAGTACAGAGGAAAACTGCATTATGATTTTTCCCTTCACCTTAAGTTACCTAATTTATCTCTTGCTAATCCACATTTCTTTCCCATCTTTACCTGAGGATCTTTTCTTCTCCTGGTGACACTCAGTGGGCAGTTTTTACCGCAGTTGAAAATGGTAGCTTCTCCTGATATTGTTTGAACCCTTTAGAATTTATGGTTCAACAAAATTACATTAATGTCACTTTAATGTTACTCCTTCTCCTATAAATCTATATTTTTTGCAATACAAGATTTTCATATAAAAATGACTGTAGGGGACCTCAAAAAGGTCTAAATTGTGTTTGGATTTGGTCAGCAGACCCCTCCCTTTTAAGGGTCCTCCATGACCCTGGACAGTTAAACTCACATAATACTTATAGACCTTATTACTAGCTTATTACCAGTGGTGAACCATAACTGTTAGGGCTAAGCCTTTATTACACACTATAAATGTCAAAAACCTGTCAAAAGAGAAAAAATAATGCTAGTTTTTGTTAGTGGCCCATATGGGGTTTCTAAAACCTGATGCTGGTGAACACGAACATTTACACCTAATTTATGGGAATTTGGAGCTTATAACAGACATATTACCATTTTACATTGTACATTGAAGACTTTTCCAGTAAAGACTTCATAGAGCTGCTGCCACTGTTTTCCATTTATAACATGTGCAGCAGGTCTGTGCTGACCAGGTTTGTCAGTTTACAACAACTGACTGAAACCTGGTAAGATTTGTCAGTCTGTGTTGCATCTAAAACTTCCAGAAGGCCTAGAGTAATGATTTTATTCAAGAAATTGGTCTCACTCATTGTAAATCACAACATGATTGGTTGATTCCACTGTCACCTCCTAATTATTTTAATGTTTAATCTGAAACATTAGGCCTTCAGTTCAGCTCCTGAAGGCCTAGCCAATGAGAACGCATGGCTGTACCTACATAGATAACACAGGAGACAGTAATGTTTTCAATCAAAACTTAACAATGGAATAAGAACATTAATAATTCCAGACTTTAATTACTACAAACGTGATGTTTCTGTTAAATGAAAATGATCTAAAATGTACAGACATGTATTTGTTACATCCCAGAAATTATCAGGCTTTCCTTTAAGGCATAGAAGGCCCTCAGGGTTCCTCTCTGCTTATCGCTAACTTATTACTTAATATTAACTTATCACAAGCTTTCGCCCCAGAACAGGTGCTGTGAGCATGAGCAGATCCAGTGAGTGATGGCAGGGCGTATAGCTTTACCAGGGAGACGGGCAGGGAAATCAATTTCTTCATAAGTCCCCACGATTAGGGTGTGAAAGCAAGCTGGAACATGGTGAGAAAGAGAGAAAAATGGAGAAGAAGTGGATGGGAACGATTCTCCGTCTCAGAGGGGAAAAAGAAATATAAAGCGTGAGAGTGAGGCAATGTTAGAGATGAAATTTCAAAGAGAATATAAATTTCAGATTAAATGTTAAAAGTCTCATTCACTTTACGCATGCGACACACAGCTGACTGTTTGGGATCCCTTGTGATGCAAAGCTTGCGTAATATATTGAGAAAGCACTCGATACCGAAAAGCTTTTTGAAATTGTAAGTAGTTGATTTTCTTTCTTCATTGGGAGTTTATATTGCTTTGGCTCTGTTAAAGTGTCCATTATCATTCTGATAGATGTGGTTTCCATTATTCTCCTCTTGGGGCTGCTTCAGACTTCGGTGATATCCATCATGAGCGCAGTCAATACAGGCTCGTTCTAAATGCCATCCTTATTCTTCCCTTCCTCTGCTGAATGGAAAGCTTTATATATTAAACATCCTTATTCTCAGGGCTCCTGGCTCTGAGCCTTTTGCCTTCACCCTCTCCTTTATTTCCAACTGAATGTAATTATGTGGAGCTCTGTGGGGGGTGTAGTCTAAATTTGGTGAGACAGGTACGGGTGGAATTTGATGCCACCTGTGCTTCAGAAATCAGTAAGCCTATTGTTTTCCTTTTCTTATAAAGCTCAGAATTTTAAATGGCTAGAAGTGCTTGATGTTTTTTGTTATTGTTTTCACCAAACTTCCTAAAGGAAATTCTTAAGATGGTCTCAAGAGAAATAAAGCAGATTTCTGTATTGTTTCAGTATAAATGAAATGTACAGAACTCTGAATCAGGATTAGATTAACGTCATTTCATTGTAAGAAGTTCAAGAAATACATGTGAAAAGCATGTTGTCTCCTTCTACACTGATAGAAAGACTTCTGTGATACAGAGTAGAGCTGTGTAAGAAAATCATGAGATCTTACACTTTCATGTTTTGTAAATATTATTAAGAATAAGCTGAAGTGTCAGGCAACCTTTGTCCTTGTGGTAAACCTTATTAAATGATCAAAGCCAATTGAGTAACACCTGCACCACCATTCAAAGCTTTGGAATTGTTAATATTATTTCAGTATTTTCAGTAATTTAAGCACATTTTTTGCAGACAGATGTATATAGTTACTGACAATTCTTGACTAAAACCAAAATTCAGGAAAACCAAAAACCAAGAGAGAGTTATTTTAATATATAATTTGCCATTTTGTTTATGCTTTTGAATTAACATAAAAAGGCAGATGATCCTTAAAAGGCAGTAATTTCCATGTTTGAAAAGAAAACCGAGAACTAGAAGACTTTAATATAAGAAAATATAATGGTTCATGATTTCTAACCTCCACAATAATGAAGAAAACACCTTGTTTTATGTAGAGCTTGTGGCTTTAGAACTCCTATCCACCAGTCTGAAGTGTCTCCAGCTATTAGCAGTATTATTGATGTGATTTCCAGGCACTGATACCACTTTTTCAGATTCGGTACTGATACCTGATCCTTGGACTGTCGGCCAGTAGTGAATACTGATAGCGATACTAACTCTGTCTAACCCAACTAAATAACCATTTCTGATATTTAACACAAACCTATTTTTATTTATTTACTATTATATAATTAATAATTAGTAATACTGCTGAATGTTGTTTTACATCCAGATTTCTTAAGTCATTTGTCACAAGTGCATCTTGTTCACTCGTGCTCACATCTCAGAGCGTCAGACTCTGCTGGGATTCAGTACATATCACAGTCATTTATGCTAACAGTGGTAGTAGCAGTTGGGTCGCAGGTTTTCTGGTCGCAGCAAAAGTTCGCAAAGCCCCGGAGCTGTGTGATGAAGCTGACCGACAGAGGTACATCGCAGGCAGGGCTAGTGGACACACAGGCCTGGCTAGCGGGCTGATATGCTAAGGGCTAAACCAAGACCAAAGGCTGTCATTACCCCAAAAGACCAGTGAGTCCTTCCATTTGCATCTCTAATGTTCGCTTCGTCAGTACCAACCTGGACTAACATTAACTCATACTGTTTGTATGTTGCATATCTAGTGTATTTGAGACATATTGGTGAAATGAAACCGGTATGTCACCCACTACTGTTGCCTTTCTGGCGTTAGAGATTTCGCCATGAGCATTTCTACTGCTGCTCGTCTACCAGCATGTGATATTCACCAGCATGTTAAGTTACGTCAGAACACGTCAGAAACTGCTTCGGTAACAGTATCGGTGCAACTTTAGTATTTCCATTCCGCTTAAAGACCTTAAAGATCGCAGATCTAAGCTGAATCAGACTGGTTTTGAGCGTTTCACTGTTGGTCTGCTGCTGCTCAAACTGTTTGAATGTGCCTGCACTAACCATCCTTTTCTCTGTCTTTTTTCCCGGAAGTACCACTTTCAGTTTTTGGCCAAACGCCAAAATTTCGATGCATCCATATTAAAAATAATACAAATATATAGGACCTATGCACCTTCATAGATAATAATTTCAAATAATAAATAGGAATCTGTTTATAAAATTGTATTATAATAATAATAAGAAGAAGAAGAACAAGAACAAGAAGAATAACAATGATGATAATACTTTTATTTATTTATTTATTTATTTATTAATTATCTAGAGTGAAAACGGAGCTGTAGATTTTTGTAAATAACTTGGGGAGAAAAAGTTTGCAAATAGATTATAGTTTATTATTTATCATTTAATAACTGAAATATTGAATAAAACATCTAAAAACACCTTTTGAGGTCTGGTTTATAATATTCAGGGCTACATCATATCGTAACGTAGTGTTTTTGTTGTAAGATAATAAAAATTATTGCAGTGTGATTCCAAACCTTTGAACGGTACTGTATGCTTCAAATAATTCTGGAAGCTGTAAAAATGAAAGTGTTAGATGTGTTCAGAATGAGTAACAGACCTGTAGATGGTTCTGAAATGACAGAGAAAGCTGTTTAACATCCAGACTGAAGTTACTGAAAGAGACTGTAAACTGAATGTGTGCGCATGTCCCCTCTCTGTCCCGCTCCAGAGGATGTCCACCTTCACTTTAAGAAGTGTGAGGTGGAGTACCTGCAGTTTGCCTTCCGCTGGATGAACAACCTGCTGATGAGGGAGCTGCCGCTGCGCTGCACCATCCGTCTGTGGGACACCTACCAGGTACACATAGCTGCAGCCAACTCACACCTCATGCACAGCGGATGGTTATACACTACTGCTCAAGTTCATTTGTCATATTAATAATGGCTAGTTTACTCAAAATAGCACATTTGTGAAATTGACCATGTTAATGCCTTTGTAGGAAAAGGTCAGAAAATTTTTTCGTATTATTCCTTCCATTGAAGCTCATGTTCAGACGGCTCTCAGGTGGATTTGATCTACCAGTCAGAGACTTTTGCCCAAATTTATGGAGTCCATGCCAGCTCAATTGCAGTGTTAATAAAGAAAAAGAAGGACATATCAAATACTAAGAAATTCTGAAATTCATGTAAACAAATAATAATAATAAAGACTATACTTTTTACTCCAATTTTTTATGATAAGATAATTTGTAGTGAAAAACTTTAAATTAAATTAATTTAAATCAGAAAGGATTGCAAAATCAAACCGTTTTCACCAGCAGTCTCAGATTTTTGGACACCCACCATATAGCATATTATAGTATTTTTTGGTAGTAACACACCAACACGGGAATAATGTGCCAATTGTTTTTTTTTTTAACCTTTTTATAGCTATATAAGTGGACAAATTAAGCTTAATCAAAATGTGTTTATTACTTTAGTAATCCAATAACATTGTTTTGAATAATGAACACAGGGTTTATATGAATCCAAACATAAAAATGATGTGAACACATTAAGTGAACAGTTTGCATGACGGACATCCAGTGGGAGCAACAGTGGCTGCATGTTCCATCCAGTGAGTGCGTATGTCATATATTCAGTGAATGATTCCAACACTGCGACTGTAGCACTTTGCTTTCATGTTGCTATGCTATGTCTCGTTTGAAGGGCAACTGAAGCTTCTCACTTTGCTCTTTTTGTCTGCTCTTCGTTGGTTTATCCATAGTTCTATGCCAAATTACTGATGTTGCCTGCATTGACGCTGTGTTTTTCTTGCAAATGGCACTTCAGACTTGATGTACGTCAGTGAAAGTTTGCGGCATTGCAGTAGCTGGAAATAGCTTTTATCAAGTGAGTAATGAAGGGAACTTGTTTAAAAGCTAACTACAGTGGCAGAGTCAGTCATGACAACATATGTGTAAGCAGCTGGGCTTCAGGCCTGAACTGAGGATGGTTTGAAGGGTCAAACTTTGACACCATTCCAGGTACATTCCTTGAAATGATTTGAAACCTGTGAAATTATAGAGTACTAGCATCATATTTGAATCATTTCATACTTCTCCATGAAATAGTTGAGTACCTGTGTCAGATTACAGTTATTTCATACATTTACCTACAACAAATGTGGTTTTATATTATTGAATGCAGTGATTAACTAGTTTTAAGTAGGTGTTCTAGTAGGGACTGTCTCCAATTATCATTTATAGAGTGTTCATAGGGATTAAAGTCTTTGAATGACCACTTATTATCCTAATTATTTTTATCTCTACTAATCTGAATATATGGTGTCCAAACCAGTGGTACAGGAAGCATTAGCTCTTAGCGGTGGACAGTACAGAATAATAAAGTACACCTATAAATAAGAAAATAGTGTAATTTATTACAAACTAAGCAGCGTAGTTCACTGTAACTTAACAGTAGGCTATGGTTGCCAAGCAGTATAACAGTCAAAGGCCAAATGATTTTTAAAGAGTTCGGTTGTGTGCTGTCATATGTGTAAATACTGAGTATTTTACAACAACTTTGATGGGTCAGGCAATCAGATCTTAGAGCCAGATCTACCTGTTTGGTAAGTGCTGTGTTCCCATTATACACCGATCAGGCATAACATTATGACCACCTCCTTGTTTCTCATTGTCCATTTTATCAGCTCCACTTACTATATAGGTGCACTTTGTAGTTCTACAGTTACAGACTGTAGTCCATCTGTTTCTCTGCATACTTTGTTAGCCCCCTTTTACCCTGTTCCTCTGTGTTTAGGACCCCCATGGACCCTCACAGAGCAGGTAGTGTTTGGGTGGTGGGTCATTCTCAGCACTGCAGTAACACTGATGTGGTGGTGGTGTGTTAGTGTGTGTTGTGCTGGTACGAGTGGATCAGACACAGCAGTGCTGCTGGAGTTTTTAAACAACTTAGTGTCACTGCTGGACTGAGAATAGTCCAACAACCAAAAATATCCAGCCAACAGCGTCCTGTGACCACGGATGAAGGACTAGAGGATGACCAACACAAACTGTGCAGCAGCAGCTGAGCTATCGTCTCTGACTTTACATCTACAAGGTGGACTGAGAAGGTCGGAGTGTCTAATAGAGTGGACAGTGAGCGGACACAGTGTTTAAAAACTCCAGCAGCACTGCTGTGTCTGATCCACTCAGACCAGCACAACACACACTAACACACCACTAACACACCACCACCACGTCAGTGTTACTGCAGTGCTGAGAATGATCCACCACCCAAATAGTACCTGCCCTGTGAGGGTCCATGGGGTCCTGACCACTGAAGAACAGGGTAAAAGGGCCTAACAAAGTATACAGAGAGACAGATGGACTACAGTCTGTAACTGTAGAACTACAAAGTGCACCTATATAGTAAGTGGAGCTGATAAAATGGACAATGAGCGTAGAAACAAGGAGGTGGTCATAATGTTATGCCTGATCAGTGTATAATGAAAAGTGACAATAGCTGTAATATTCCCTATTTTGAAAGATAAACAAGTTCGCCTTTTTATGGCACAGAGATTTATATCATCGTGGAGGTCATTGGTTGGTTCAGACTGACACATTGGCACCAGGTTTTAGTGCTCAGATGTCGGCCTCCGGTGTTTCACGTCCTCTAAGTGAGCAGTCACTGAAATTTATTGGTGAGTCAGATCTTATTGGTTGTAATCTCAGTTCTCCAGTCTGATCAACCTTACACTTCACAATGTAATTGGGCCTTTTATTTAGTTTATTTCGACTAAAGGGAATCTACAATCTATAGTCATCACTGATGAAGCTCATAAATTAAGTTTCTGTACTTCGCCAAAGCTATTATAGTTGGTAAAAGGGTCTGACTTTGGGTCCAGTTCTGTGTTCATTTGTATTCTCATCGAAGAGATTGGAGCCCCTGATGGATGTTCTGGCTGCTTTTCATCCTTGTGTCTCAGAAATCTTTTGATATGTCTCCTCTCTTGTTATTCTGTCCTTTATGTCTGTCTCTCTGCTTTTTAATTTGGGAATTTTTTTTACATCTTACTCACATAGATTCAGTCTCATGAAACGGGTGTTAGTGGACAAAGAGGCATGTAAATGTGCAAAACATAGTTTTAAAGTAAAACAGGCCTGACATTTATATCAAACCTGAATGTAGCCTAATTTGTCCCTCAGCAACAAGTCTAGAATATTAACCTGACCCAAAACTGATCAAATTCTGTCCAAGTCCAAGCCAAATTCCACCATAACTAGCGGGGAGACAAAATAAAACTTGATATTCGTAATGATTGTGCCTGAAAAATGACCTCTGACAATGTTGAGTTGCTTTGGTACCTTAGGGACAGTGTTAAACTACAGTACTGTGTGTTTTACTCACAGCAAAAGTGAGAGACTATTGTTCATTTATTTAATTTTTAGTCAAAATAAACCTTAAGTACCTATGTTACACATTTTTTGGGTGACGGATTAGATATAGGGCAGTGCACTTGCATAAGGAAAGAGAAAGTCAAAGGAAAATGAGTGAGCTTCTAAAAGTTCAAAAAACTTTCAGGCCGGGGTTACACTGCACAAGTTTTACCCCGATTTCAGCCCCGATTCTCAGTCTGGCCGAGTCTGTGCTGGTTGGCTCTAGTCTGCAGATTTTTGGGTCAGTCAGAGTCGACGGTTGGAGAGAGAATCAAGTAGTGTGCGAGGAGCGTAGACTCAGATTTTTGGCCTCCAAAAATGGCGAAAAGTCATAACATGGAGCAATTTAAGGCATGAATACAATGGAGTTTATGTACATTTAAAAATCTAAAAACAAAAACACACTGATCACATTTTAAATCCATAACTCTGACTTGTTTAAACTTGTTTAACTGCTGCTTCTTTACTATGTCAGTGAAAACAGCAGCAGCAGCGAGCCGTTCCATGTTTGTTTGTTTATTTGCGTCTCCTAGTAAGGGTGAGTTACACGCGAGTTAGCGCAAATTCAGTCAGTTCGATTCGGTTCAGCAACAACTTAAAAGTTGAGTGGTGTGATCCCCAATATTTCAGTCGCTGAAGAAATCTGCAGAAACCAGTCTGATAGTGCGAGAGTCTGTTTTTTAATCTGTTAAGACTTTAAAAGTCGTGTAGTGAACCCAAGGCCTTAGTAGATATAGAGAAAATGGGCCTGGTAGACCAATAAAACTACCAACAAAACTAAATGCTGAAAAATGTCATATTTAATTGTTGAGGCTTCAGTGTACTTTTCTCTTTAATATATTCTTTATACATTTTTGGTGCTGAAAATCGAACTTAATGGCTGTTTTGACTGGAAATTAAATTAATGATGTGTAGTCTCTGTTGTTAAGGTAGCGTACTGCGCTAAAGTTGTTTGAGTGACAGTCATCATCAAAAATGAATCCAAAAGTGTAATAGCGTATTATCAGCTGTCCTAAGTGAACTTTATTCATTTATTAATCAATGCTTTTCAACAGAGTCAAAAACGTTTTCAGGCAAATGCGCTGTTTTCACGCTGGCCTTGAGGACTTTGCTGCCGACAGCATGAGCAACATCATTGAAAAATGTATTAGATGATAAATGGACAGAGAAAGAGTAAAGCAGAGAGGAAAAGAAAATAAAACAAAGGTAAATGCAGGACAAAATCTGTTAAAGGGAGAGACTATGAGAAAGCTGAACGTGGAAGTTGAGCCTGAACGGAGTCCAGTAAATATTCGAGAGATGATGCACAAACCCAGACCAACCCATGACTTGAATAATCATGCCAGTGTTTCATGTTGTGCTATGAAGGCCACACTCAGCGGCCACTTTATTAGGCTATTGTACTCAAACGTTGACTGATTGTATTGTATTGTACCTTAGTGTGTGACCTTCATAAATGTATGCAAATATTCACAAATATGTAGCTGAAACATCTAAATTAGGCTTGGCTCATACATCATGTGAACGCGTAGCTAGGAAATAAACCCCGTTCTTAACAAATAAATGACCCTCTTCCTTTGAATTGCTCATTCACTCAACACTTAGGCACAAACCTGCCCACTCAGAAAGCTTTTGACTAAGCAGCCAGAGGAGGCGTACCTAATAAAGGAGCACTCAGTTTATAATCTAGCTAGGTTTGTAAATGTTTGCATGAACAGTGTTTACACATATATTATGAATGCATATTACAAGCCTCAATTCCAAACAGGTGGGCCTGTATGTGAAATGCGAAATGAACACAGATAGGAATGATTTAGTAAATTCTGTTTAACCTCTATTACATTAAAAATGCAATTATATAAATAATAACATTTTTTTAATATTAAGGGCAGGTGCGGTCTTATAAAATTAACTGTTTTTTTTGTTTTGTTTTTTTTTAAATTCCAATTTTGCTGCCTGCAACACATTCCAAAAGAATGGGACAGGAGTATGTTTACCACTGTGTTTATCCTTTTTCCTTCTAACAACTCTTAATACTTATTTGGGGACTGAAGAAATCAGTTATTCCAGGTTTGAAAGCAGGTTTTTTTTTCTGTTATACAAGTCTTGAGTGTTTTCCAGCACTTGTGAGCCTTGACCCATCCTTGCGCATCAAGCACTAGGCCTTCTGAAATGTTTTGCAGGCATTAATTTCCGATTGATGTTCATTTACAAAAAAAACAATGAAGTTGAAGGTAAAGCATTAACATTAAATACAGAGAAAAAAAGAGTGAATCACTGCTTATTTTGTGACATTCTAAAGCAGTAAGCTATGCTGTGCTTTACCGTGGTTTTCCCACAATGCCAAGTGGGCTAAAATCACTGTAATGCGTTGCCTCGAGTGACTTACTGCTATTATAGCAGGCATGTCAACCTGGGGACCTTCCGGGCCAAAGTGCTGTGGAGATTAGCGTTTACCCTCATGTAACACTCTGAATTCAGTTCATGAAGGCCTTGCTAATTAGCTGATGTGGTGTGTTTTAATGAGGCAGTGTGCTGTAGTCTTCAGTGTTTTGGCCCGCGAGGACTGGAGCCTGACGCATGTGTATTATAAAATGCATCAGTCTCACTTGTTCTAATAAACTGCATTAACAGAGCAATCGCACCAGCGTTCGTCTTAATTGATCCAAACCTGCCGAGTGTGAACGGACCATTAGTGTATTCCTGCTATAGCTGAGTTGAAAAGAGAAAACTAAATGAATCTGTGAGCAGAGCGTCTGAGGCTGAGAGCAGAGCAGCATGCACCTTTTAGGAAGAAGATAGAGTGAAAAAAGAACGCCGGTTAATCTCCATGGCTTCTGTGATGTAACCTCTCACTTCTGCCTTGTCTGTGCAGTCGCAGAGAAATCCTGTTTGAAGACACAGATAATCTGACAGATAATAGGATTAATACATGAATGGATTTTCCTCGAATCTCTGTGTCACAGGGGAAGAAAGAACTTGAATCATGGAAACGCTTTCCTCTGTTGTTTCAGCTACAGCGTATTAGTTAGGGTGTTTTTTGTTTTGTTTTGTTTTTTTTTCCTTAAAGGGGAGTTCCACCGATTTTTCTAAATTTCTTCTTAATGAAATCAAGTTTTTCAGAGTGGTTTGAAGTCCTTCGTTCTTCAGACACAGAATAAAATAAAACTTATTTTAAAAACTCAGACGTGTGTAGGTTCACTGGTGGTTTTGGATAGTAATAAAATTGCTAAATAAGAATTGTAGACAGACCACTGGATCATTTCAGTACTACTGTAAGGCAATCGGAGTCTAAGTTTCTCTACAACAGGGGGGGTCAAACTTGTTTTTATTTCATTTGTACTTTACATTTTGTCTTGACCCCAAAGGGCCATTATTATTAAAAATATGCCCAAACTGCAACAGGAAAATAAACATCGAAAACCTATTAAAAAATAATTCTAAATAAATTGTTTTAGGTAGTTTTAACTGCCTATTTGCTTGAACTTACCGAAGTCTGGAGAGGCCATGAGGTAGTTACAATTTTCTGGATGTTATTTTGAGATAACAAGTTAAGTTGTTATCTCAAAATAACAAAAGTTGTTATGATAATGAGTTGATTATCTTGTGATCTCAAGATAACTTTTTTTAATCTTGAGATAATGATTGTTGTCTCAAGATCCCAAAATCGTCTTGAGATAACGACTTAATTATCTTATCTCAAGATCACAGAATTATCTTGAGATACCATGTTAATTATCTTGTTACCTTGAAATAACAAAGTTATGGTCTAACGATTTAATTATCTTGTTACCTAAAGACCACAACTTTGTTATCTAGAGATAACAATTTATGATCTTATCCCAAGATAACAATTTTTATTTAAAGTTAATTATCTTGTTATCTCAAGATAACAATCCAGAAAATTATAGCAACAGCTTATGGCCTCTCCAGACTTCCGTATGGACTAGACCCTGGGAATCTTTTCTTTTTGTGTAACTGCTGGGCCGTAGACTGTTGTTGAGGGAAGGGGGTTGTGCATGCTGGGAACTGTAGTGCATCTCAGGGTCAAACGGGCTGATAAGAATAGAAAATAAAAATAATTCCGCAGGCCGAATGGGAGACAATCTGAAAAGCTGCATGTATGAAACAGGGTTGTTTACCTTCAGGTTCACTGCTTAAACTAAACAAGCCCATCTCATAGCAGAGTGTCACTGTCACAGCAGTAATTAAAAAAGAAAAAGTATACAGTTCAGCAGAGTTATTACTCCGAGGGAGACGACAGGGAAGGTTTCACCGTGGAGTTTGGAGTCCAGACGTTTATCTCCACTCTCTTTATCCTCTCTCCCTTGTAATAGCATGTTAGCGCTGGAACACAAAGGGGCTGCCCCAGAAGATCAATTAGTTTCCACAAAGAGCTCAGACGAGAGAGAGAAAGAGAGAGAGTGAGAGAGAAAGAAAGAGAGAGTTGGAGAGAGAGTTGGAGAGAGAGTTGGAGAGAGAGTTGGAGAGAGAGTTAGAGAGAGAGTGAGAGAGAGTGAGAAGACAAAAAGGAAAGTCATGTCAGTGAGCTGGAGTGATCCAGTCTCTCCACCAGGCTTCTGCTCTAGTAGAGTCAGTGTGTTCTGTGGTGGGACCTCAACTCACTCTGATGGTTCTTCTCTTCCTCTTTCAATCTATTCTACTCTCTTCTTTCTTCTCTTTTCTTCCCCTCCCTTTCTCACTCTCTCTCCTCTTTCTCTTTCTCCTCTTTCTCTCTCACCGTCTTTCTTTGTCATCTCTTCTCTTTCTCTCTCACCGTCTTTATCTTCTGCTTCTCTTCTACTCTTTATTCTCTTCTCCCTTTCTCAATCTTTCCTTCTGTCCTTTTTCTCTCTTGCTGTCTCTCTTCCTCTCCTCTCTCCTCTTTATTTTTTTTCCTCTTCAATTTCTCTCTCACTGTCTTTCTTTATCATCTCTTCACTTTCTCTTTTTCTTTTTCTTTCTCACCGTCTTTATCATCTTTTTCTCTCTCATCTCGTCTCCTCTTTTGTTGCTTTTACTTCCCTTTTTTCTTTTCCATTGTCTTTTCTTCCCTTCTCTTTCTCTCTCAATGTCTTTCTTTTTTTCTATCATTTTTTCCATTTTCTTTCTCCGTTCCTTTTTCCTCATTTTTTTTCTCCTTTGCTGTCTTTTTCCTTCTTTCTTGGTTTTGCTGTCTTTCTTTTCTTCTCCTCTCTTCTTTCTCTCTTGCAGTTCTTTTCTTTCTCTTATCATAACCTCTCCTTTTCCTCTCTTCCCTTTTCTTTTCTTTTCCTTTCATTCTGTTCCCTTCATTTTCAGTTTTATTCCCTTTTCTTTCTATCTCATCTCTTCTCTTCACATTCTCTTTTTCTCCTGTTGTTTATCTTCTTTTTTTCTCTCATGCTGTTCTTCTCTTCTGTGCAGTCTCCTTCCTTATCTTGTTCTCCTCTCTTCATCTTTCTCTTGCTGTTTGTCCTCGTCTTCTCTTTTCTTTCTTCTGTCTTCTCTTTTCTTTCTTCTGTCTTCTCTTTTCTTTCCAATTTCTCTTTCTCTTCACCCTTTCCTTCCATTATCTTTCACTTCCTGTCTCTTCGTCTTATCTTTTTCGTTCTCCTCTCCTCTCTGCTCTTTCTCCTCTCTTCTCTTTCTCTCTCTTGCTCTTTCATTTTTCTTCCCCTCTTTTTCTCTCACTCTTTTTTGATCTCTCTTGCTGTCTTACTTTCCTTCTCTTTTCTTCCCTTCTTTCACTCCTCTCTCTCTCTCTCTCTCTCTCTCTCTCTCTCTCTCTCTCACTCTCTCTCTCTCTCTCTCTTGATCAGCTGTTAGTACATTGCACTTTTTCCTCTGACTTTCTTTTGTTGCTTATGCTACGTCCGTCTTTTTCTTTTTTGTTTCTTTTCTCTCTCTCTCACTCTCACTCATTTCCTTTGTCTTTCTCTATTTCTCTCGCTCACTGTTGGGAGAGAAGCAAACAGAAAGTGAAAAGCAAACAGGAAAACAAGAACAAACCTATTTATAGCCAGACGCCTCGCCTCAAGTGGCTGAAAGTACTGCACTGTACCTCACACACACACATACACACACAGAAAGAGAGGCGTGGTGTGTGTGTGTGTGTGCTGGCGTATCCTGAGACGCAGGAGAGTCTATATTAATGCCTTCTTTATTAGCGGCGCTGGTGATGGCAGTAATTGGCGTGATTGTTCTCCTCAGCTGATGAAATAGATGCTGCTGAATAAACAGCTGTAATGAGCCGAGTTTGCGGCTGCTGTGTTTCAGGCAGTAAAGCGTAATGTGTTCACTTACGCAGTTACTTCATATACATATTCATATATAGATGGCCGAGCCCTCAGAACGCTTTATTAAAGTCTCCTCCGCGGGGGAGTTGTAGGCTGACGCATGTGTGTTTGTTTTGTTTCTGCAGGCGGAGTCGGAGGGTTTCTCTCACTTCCACCTGTACGTCTGTGCGGCCTTCCTCATCAAGTGGCGCAAAGAGATCCTCTCCATGTCAGACTTTCAGGTACTCTTTGTCTGTCTGTCTGTCTGTCTGTCTGTCTGTCTGACTGACTGACTGACTATCTTATCTAAGCTATCTTTTCAGGACCAACCACATTTGTAAAGAGCTTTAAACAAAAGGTTCAAGTTTAAAGAGCAAAACAATGAGTACGTGTAATAATCCGATAACTGCAGAAAATCTGATTTTGTCAGTAATCTGATCAGCACATTTACTTGCACTTGAGTGATCAGATAATGGAAAACTCGGCAAAAAACGGATTTCTGCTTTGCAGCCGGCCAGTAAACTCACAGATATGTATGACTTCATTTCTGTTCATTGTTTAATCGTTTGTGCTGTGCTGTGTTGTGTTGTGGGTGTACATATATGTGCACACGCTGTACATCTCTGCTGATGTGTTGAGTGTGTTGTATAATTGTGTTTGGTCATGTTGTGGCTGTCTGAGTGTGTGTTAAGTGTGTGCCACACTCCACACTGCGCCAGCTCGTCTGAGCCGTCACACACTCTGCGTTGATCGCAGTAATTGGTGCTGCAGAAAAGCAGCCGCACTGTAACTGCATTACACACACCAACGCTCAGCCCACCTCTGAGACCCCCACGCCACACTCTCACCCTCAGTCTGCTCCTTCTTTCACTCCTCTCTGTCTCTCTCATATTCTGTCTTTCTTTCATTTCTTTCTGTTTTCATTCCTCTCTCTCTAATTCTTATTCTCTCTCCCTCACCCTCTCTTTCTCTGTCTCATGTTCTCTTTATATTACTGTCTTTCATTCTTCTTTCACTCCTCTCTGTCTCTCTCTTTTTTCTGCTTTCACTCCTCCTTCTCTCTCTCACTCTTTTTTCTGCTTTCACTCTTTCTCTTTCTTTCTCTTTAATTTTTCTGCTTTCACTCCTCCTTCTCTCTCTCTCTCTCTCTCTCTCTCTCTCAAATAACTTTATTAGCATGAATTGTAATGAATAATTGTTGCCAAAGCAATTAGTAGAATATTATTGTAGAATATGGAGATAATGTTGAAAAAAAATGTATAAAAAAAGAGTACAATAAAAAGATATTCATATGTATCTATATGCATATTCTCTGTCATTCCCTCTCTCTCTCTCACTGTCTTTCTTTCATTCTCCCACTCGTGCCTCTCTCTCTCTCTCTCTCTCTCTCTGTCTCTGTCTCTCAATTTTCTTAATTCTTCTTTCTCTCTCTTTTATTCTTCAACTTCTTCTTCTCAGACTGAGTGATTGAAAGGCAGTTCAGATGAAGACTGACTCTAACCCCACACCAAACGACCTTTACATTGTTGTCTGGCTTCATTGGTTAAAGAAACACATTAAAAAGGCATTTCTGAAGAGATCATAATGATGTGTGGATTAAAACTTTTATTTGGGCTGAAAATGTGAGAATCCTCTTTATGGAGACCGAAGTACCACTTCATCTTTCCCAGCATTGATTACAAAATTAGACCATCATTGCTTTATTTAAATGCCTTTATTTAAAATAAAGGAAATGTAATTTTAGTCTAATAGTTGTCTAGCAGCATGTTCCAATGTTAAAGGGGAATTCCACCAGAGTAGTGATGTGAAATGGTCCATTGTAGAGGAACTCACTGACTCTGGATTCTATACAGTGGTGGTGATGGGAACCAGGCAGGGCCACAATGTCTACAGCACAAATATAGCTTCTGTATGTACTGTTAAATCTATATTTTGTATATAATGTAAATCTGAAAAATATTTTCTATTTGGTCTTACAACAGCCTGCCTATACGTCTCCACAATGAGGACATTTAAAATATGTTTTAGCCTAAAAGCTTATAGCAAAACTATCCTAAAGAATGTCTCAGGCAGCATATTTATAAGCATTTTGTCTAATACCTTTCTGTGAGGGAGCTTTTAGAGGCAGGAAACTCTTCAGACATCTGGGACCGGATTCACAAAAGTGTCTTAAGAAAGAAAATCTTAAATGTGTATAACTTCATTCTTCAAAAAAAAAGAAAAAAAAACTTACGACAGCCTCACAAGTGTCTTAGGCTGTAGGAGGTGATAAGGTGAGCGTCTAAATTTATCAGTCTACTATTGCATGTCCTCGTCTCATTCTTTCCACCGTCATCCCACAATTATTATGTTTTCTAAGGAGGATTTTTTTCCCTGTTGGCTGTTTCCTCCACCATCACCTCTAGTTCTGGTTTGCTATTTTTTTTGAAACACTTAGTTTGACGTTTTTCCTCGATTTTTCTTCTCTGCGTAGTTTTTTTCTTAAAGTTTTTCGTGAATCCAGACCCAGTTCCTATCACCACTGCTGTGAACCTTGCAAAATCTATGAAATTTACATTTAACATTAGCTTACATGTTGCAACTGTTATAATATGACATACTTTGTTACATTACATTGAGAGCAATTGTGTGATGTTTCAGGCTAGATTGTTATGTAATCATTCTTTTTTCCCTTTTAATATCCGAACCAGCATTTTCAGCCCGATACTGTTTGGTGAACTGGTGCCATCTCTAATGTTGCTCTAATAGACTTTGCTATGTCTTTCAGGGCCTGCTAATGCTTCTGCAGAACTTACCCACAATACACTGGGGCAACGAGGAGGTGGGCTTACTCCTGGCTGAAGCCTACAGGCTCAAATACATGTTTGCAGATGCTCCCAGCCACTACAAAAGATAAGGGTGTCCTGACTCACAGACAAACACAACCATGACTCCCACACTATCTCTGTCTCTCAGTCTAGAGGCATTTCCTTAATCTCCTGTTATGTTCGCCGAGGCTGACGGGGAACACCATGCTGCTGGGACGGCCAAAAAAAAACGAGATCCTGAACAAAGTTCCCCTGCTGCAGCGCTGATAGGCTTCGCTTTCAGCAGATAAAGACTCAACACCACGTCTGAGAAGTTTTTTTGTGAATCTTTTATGAAACTAATAACAAGACTGAGAAGGAAGCGGAACAGCTTCTCAGACGCTTTATGAAAAATGTTTTTATTGCGTTTTATTTTTTTAATAACTTCTTGCATTGTATCTCCTTGCGCTCTTGATTTCTCTAAAATGGAGCATCCACTCTTCCTTTTTTCATACAACAAGTGATCCCTTTTCTTTTTGGTCTCTGTGAGTGGCGTCTGTCTGCTGTGCTTGCTTCTTCCATTGCTCTGTTGACTGGACCACAGCAGCATCGGCTCCATTCATCTCCGAAGACATCAGTGCAGCTGTTACTGCAGTGCTGTGATAAAGGAAGGAAACTACAGCAGCCAATCAGGGTCACTTGTGATGAGATGCAGCGGTACATGTCTGTTGTCCCGTAATAGAGTCGAGCGCGTTTTCAGCTCCACGCTTGTAGAAGACTGTGAATTTTAACAATCAAGGACGACGTCCTACTTTCTGAAGGTGGCCTAGCTTCAAGTGAAGCCCCCACATATTGCACAAAAAGGAGTTAAAGATTAAAACATGGGTACTTTTTTCCGCAGTAGCGGAGTTAACTACTGAGGCGATGTTGCAAAGACAGCTTCACACTGAAGTGAAATATTAATAATAAGGTTCGTAGTGAGTGAATCAGTCTAATACGAGGGACTGTCTTTGCACCAGTTGTGGAAAAAAAAAACTACTGAGTCAGTAATGCAAACTGAACTGTGTGGATGTGGAAAATTCTTGTGCAGCACAAATAGTCTGCTTTCTCTTTGTTAATGCCCTAAAAACTGCTAGTCGTCCTGTTATGCTGATCCCGGACCAGTTTTACGTTTGTCATTATTGGAGCACATAGAAACTGATCCCAGATCTGCATAAAAACAATGATGCTTTCTGTTGCTTTCTCTCTTTTTTGGGGGGGAGAAATGAGTTTCCTACAAGGAGGTGCACATGAAAACCCTTCTGAGCTGGATAATGACATTGGATGCTTTGAAATTTTCAGTGTAGGACAAAGTGACCAAGTTGTAGCATCTATGCTGTTTTCATTGTTGCCGAGCAAGAAAGCGAAAAGAAGTGACCAAGTACTATTATAAATATATACAGTTTTATTTCTGTTACTTTAGTGTACAGAAGCTCAAAGTAGAGCAAAAGTAACGCTTCACTTTACAGTCCCTTAAGTTTGAGGTATTAACAGGTGATTATTTTGGGTACCATGATGGTAAATTCCAAGACAGTCTTACTAAATTACACTGAAAAGCCCAGCAGGTTTAGCTATTAAACAAAACATATTCAAAGAACATATTCATAATTTAAGACAAGACATTACAAGTGAACAGAGTAACTTTTGAAAACAATAGATATCATAGTGAATGTATTTTTTTGTGTTAAACATTTTACAAACATACATTTAGATATGCAAATAAGACTATCTATTTAAATATGCATACTTACATGGATCATTTGTGTGAATGTCATCATCAGTTCAAAGGAAACATTCTACAGAAAACAAACTTTTCAGTGATATATGATGCAACATGGTTGTGCCGTTTGCGGGCGGAGCTAATCCTTCATTAAAGGTGCTAACTTTTGGAAAATAAAGTTAGATACAAAGTTGCTAAATGCACTGAAATAAATGTATTTCTGTTGAGTTTTGACATTTTTTTATTGATTACAGTTTAAGAGAAAATCCAAAAATCTGAAAAATGATTGTTGGGCCAAAATCATGATTTTCTGCTTGTATTGCCGTGACTTCATAATATGCACATCGTTTCACTGTAATGTCACAAGTTTAAGCAAGAAAGTTAATCGTAAAAATCTAAGTAATTGGGAAGGAGCCAGTGGCACCATACTAAGAATCAATTTGTTCACGTTCAGTTTAGTTTCTAGGTTATAGAATGCGTACTCTATAGGACACTTCACTTTCACACGCCAAGACAAGGCGTTTTCACACTTGTCTCAAATATTTGAGTCTGCACTGAAGACCGATTCTGGGCTCGTTTGGAGGAGGGGCTCATCATTGCTTTCACACTCAAGAATTCTATCCAAACCAGGAATCTGTTGCATAATTCCATACGTCACTTTTCTGCATGCAGGTTTGCAAAATGGTAGGCTCTAGCCTCACCCGTTTGCTGCTTTTTACCGTTTTCCTTGGGTACAAACACTCAAGCGGCACAGAACAGCATTTTTAAGCTTAAAAACAGCTTTCACACTTAATCAAATGTGCCGAACTCTTAAAGCAAGCTTACCTGGGTTCGGAAAAAGGCCGTAGTGTGAAAATGTCCCTAGGCTATGTTCGTATTGCTAGGCTAAAGTTGCACAAATCAGAATTTTTTAATTTTTTTTAATTTTTATTATTTTATTTTTTTTTAAAGAGTTGTGTGGACAAACAAATCTGATCTTTTCAAATCAGATCTGAGCCACTTTGGCTGTGTTCAGACTGCAGGCAAATCGGATTTGTTTCTCAAATGAGATCTTTTGAGACAACTGTCCACACTGTTATTATATATATATTAAATATATCAGATTGGATATCCAGACGTCACCAACCTATCTGCATGGGTTTCTTCGGTAACGGCGGGCAGTCTGGCCTTTCATATGTGGTCCTATATTGGATACATATCCGATTTGTGGCAACGTTAATGAGAACACTCAGATCGGGATTCATGTGTGTCTTTTTCATTTTCATTGTTCAGCATCAGACCTGAAGTTAGCGCCAGTAAACTGTGGAAAAGCATCTGATCCTTTTTCCGCTTTGTTTTACTCTAATAATGAACAGCTGAGAGCGATTCAGAGCTAATTTATCCTCAAAAAGGCTTGTTGTGCTGGCTAGTTTGTTTGCTGTTCATGATGCACGTGATTCATTCATGTGACATACTGATTGTGCACATGCAGGCCGTTTCAGGACACAGGTTCATTTGCGTTAATAACAGATTTAAGTCACCTACATGAACATCATATTAGAGAGATCAGATCCGATCTGATTAAAAATCGGATTTGAGCAATGAGGCTTGTGATGTGAACGTAGCTTTATAACTTTGTACTCCCACTTAAGCGCCTGGTACTGTTTTCAGTTTACTTTCCTGCTGGGACCTGTGACATGCAGTGAAATGTACTGTCCACCTTGTCACTCCAAGCAATTGTCCAGTTATGAGATATTTGACTATGTCCTTCATCTGCTTAATATCTAGAACCTGTTGGGCATTTCAGTGTTATTAAGTTACATTATGTTTACCCAAGATGATTAACTGCTTACCTGTTTATATATTAATACAGACGTTTTAAGTTCTGCTGATTGCTAGTTGTAGTTAAACTACAGCAGTAATCATGTTTTTGATGACTTATCACTTGAATGTGACCAAGACAAGTGAACAGATTCCTCCTTGGAGAAAACTACCACCCGATTTGCACTTGAAAGCAGCACAAGACAACTGTCCCCAGCTCCTATAAGCCCACGAGGCAAAAAAGTAATGCATGCCAGATGTATTTCTGTCCCTGCAGATACAAATGCATTGCCTTTGACCCAAAGTAGAAATACATGGTACATTTAAAAGCATAAGAATATAATAGGCCAATACTTTTGTATTTTTGATCTGATTCAGAGTCCCTTAGCATATAAAGACACGCTATGAATAAATGAGGTATCATATTATATTACTGTGCATTATTCTCCTTTTAAAATTCAAAAGCACTACAATGTTTCCAAAGAGGGCAGTTCAGTTCATCTCAAATAACCAAGCGGTTTTGAAAATATTCAAAATCCAAAATAACTTTTGACTACAATGTTTTCAAAGAGGGCTTAGTTCACCTTAAGTAACCAAGCAATCAGTTTTCTAATCCCATTGATAGTTTTAATAATTAATGAGTAAGTGTCTTTCTATTTTAATTATTGAAGTAAATGGAGTGTACGTGAATAGAGAGAACTGTCAGGATTGGTTAAAAGTGATGGTGTTATATTGGCCTTGCTTCTGCAGAGAGATGGAGGGGGAGGAATGAGGCAGCTGATGTTGAAGGCTCGGAGTAATACGCTGTAGTCAACCACAGTCTGTCCATAGCTCTGCACATAGCACGCGGTTTATCCTCGTCGTCATGACTACCCTTTCAACCTTCAATATGGTGACTTTAAAGGTAAATGAAAAACGATTCGTAAATATAGTGTAACACTGGATTTTATTCCAAGCAATTTTGAGCCATTTCTGTTGGTCCCTTCATCATAAAATGTTCAGATAATATTAAAAAAATTGAGATACAAGGTTCTGATTGGACAACAATGACATACCATCATCGTTAGCTTAGGACAGCTGTTACACGTTGCCTTTACTGTGAAGCATTTGCAATATTTGTTGTGGTTTAAAACTGGAGTGGTCCTTTTTATTTGATTTTGTTTTCATTCGATTTATGGGTTGTTCTTGGAACTTAAAGCGATATTTCAGCACAGAATCTTTTCCCCTTTCCTCAAGTGTCGCCATTCAGCCGAGACACATTTGTTATCCTGTTAATCACAAACTTGCTTATTTGGCTTCTGACTAGGGTGTTAGAATATGCATATTAATACTCATATACATTCGCTGAGACAGTATGCACTGTCATCTGAATCGAATACAGTTTCGATTTTTGCTCTATAAAATTGGAATAAATACCTCTAGGGATGCCGAACCAGGCATTTTTTTTCTGAATTAGGTGTCGGCTGTCACAATATCAGAAATATCCAAAAACTAAGTGATTTTTCACTGCAGAATATTACAGTAACTGGTTGCCAAATCATCTGATCATTAAAATGAACCTTCTGCAGGCCTCTGAGTGGCCATTCCACTGGCAGAAAAGAAACAGACCTGCCAGATATTTTTATTTATATAATCAAATGAAATTCAGAATTAAAAAATATAATTAAAACATTACTTGGGCATTTCTAAGATACATTTTTCATCTAATTTAAAAATACTGCAATTCAAGGCTGAACTGAGGGACCTCCATAACAAGCTGAATATGCATTTTATACCTACTGTGAAGAACATGCCATGAAATGGCCATTAAAAAAGGTTGCCTTATACTGAAAAGTAGGTACATGTATTGTAGGACTGCAACTAACGATTATTTTGGTAGTCGACTAATCTGTCGATTACTTTTCTGATTAGTTGATTAGTCAGTGATTATTTCTGTCATGCCCTCCATCTCTGTATTACCTCACCTGCTCAAATCTGCAAACCTGTCAAGGTCAACCTATTGTCCAGTCTCTGCCCAAACATAAGTTCCCATAGCAAATTAAAATCATGACCCATGAAACATGAATGACACTTAAGCTTAATAGCTTAATTAAATGTATTTGTAACATTAATACATGTAATCACAATAAAAGTGAAATAAACTAATTTAACAATACAAATTACTGATGTGCTCCAACTCGGAGACTAACTAGTTACCATTAAGTAGAGAAGGTTTACTGTTTAGAATGAACGCTGGTATTAACGCGAGCAAAAAACAGGGAAAACGAGACAGGGTTAAGTTAAGCTAACGTTCCTCATAAATTGTGTGGTCAGTGTAGTGTAGTGTAGTGTAGTGGGTAACACCTCTGCCCTCTACGCTGTAGACTGGGGTTCAATCCTTTGCCTTGGCAAGCACTCTACACTATACCAATAAGAGTCCTTGGGCAAGACTCCTAACACTACCTTCGCCTACCTGTGTAAAATGATCAAACTGTAAGTTGCTCTGGGTAAGAGCGTCTGCCAAATGCCTAAAAATGTAAATCACTGATTAACTAGATTAACTATTGCACATAACGTGTTGGCTAACATAACTGAAATAGCGTTCTCTCAGCAAGCACAATCCATGAGACCTTGTTTTCCGACGGGAATACAGTACTAACATTAGTTGGCTAAAGAAGGAAGTAGTAGAAAACACTTTTACCCTTTCGGAGTAGCGTTAGACATCATGGCTCCAGGGTGCTTGCGTTTCAGACGCTCGTGCGTCACCGAAGTGCTGCCGTAAAATCACAACTCTGCTTTACAGGGTCTGCATTCGGCTTGTTTCATTGGTTTATTTTCGCTGAAATGCTCCCAGACTTTTGGAAGTTTCGTCTCGCTTTTTTGCCTCACCTTCAGTCTTTTGCCTCCGTCGTTCAGTATGTTCATTAGCACAGAATGCAGTCGTGACTGACAATGGCAGCGATATCGCCCCCCAGCACTTTCTGTAGAGCGTTGCAGTTACAAATTAATGACGCGTTGACACTGAAATTCTAATTTGACATTTCTATAATCAATGCTGTCGATTATGTCGATATTAATTGCAGCCCTAATGTACTTTCGTATTAATTGCCGGCTTGTAGCATGTGAGGCTATGAAAACATAAGGATCAGATCAAATTGGCTAATAAAAGTGCATGGATTGGATCTGGGCCAAAAACAAAACTGGATTGTGACACCTCATTCCTACTGGTCTAATAAAGAACACGCTATGATATTTCTAAAAGGGACAAGCACAAAAGTAAGACCAAAACATAACAAAAACAATAAAAATGAAAAAACCTAAAACTTAAAGGGCCTATTTCATGGAAAACCAAATGTAGTTTGTACTGTGTAAACACTGGCAAAGATTCGTAGCGTATCGTTCTCTCCCTGGTCTGTATATGGAAGCTAAGTTTTTGTAATGTCACGAAAAAAAAAAAATGCATTTACATATATCTAGCTATTCAGCCTACGGCAGTTTAGCTCTTCCCCTTTACAGTGATGTTATATACGAATAGGAAATGTAGGTGAATACTTGTTTGTGTTAAGTATGCTTCCACCAGATGCTGCAATTATGTTCTGGAATTAGACTTATTATACCATCATATTGTGGAGTTTGTAAAGCATAACATCTACTTCTGATACTATATGACGTGCCGTTTTTTATAAAAATGAACATAAATATGGATAAATTTCAAGCTCGGTGCATTTGGGGTAAGTGGAAAATTGTGCAAATTAGATTTTTCTCTGAACTATCGCTTTAAAAGTGCTAACCACTCCTTGATCTTTGCTGAAAGCTGTTAACGGTAATGTTACACAGAACAAAAAAGCCAGTAGTTACAGCAGTCTTATGATGGAATGTACTTTACCTCAGAATTCAGATGCCCCCTATGTTAAATGTTATTCAATAGGGTTTGAATGAACAGTATCACTGTCAAAAACGGTGTAAACTACACCTCTGGACATCCATTAACGTAGTTTCTGTGTATCAGGAAACTGTAAGAGGAGCTCCTCTATAAACAGCTCCACAGAGAAACAATGGGGAATGTGAGCGGCGCTGAGAGCAGGGCAATTTCCACAGAAAATAAGGGCTTTTCAGAGCTCTTCCGGCCAAATGAAGCATTTCAGGCGGGAGTGATATCAGCTCTTAAACCAGGATATATAATTTTATCCTAGGAAAATTGCCCTAGATTGACTAAGTGATTTTTCTTTGTCTGAGCCAGTTGTTTCTCTGTGGGGTTGCTTAGCATGCATCGGTATGATGTCACCTGTTGGTGCTCTCGAATACCCCCGTTTTCTTGCTTCCAGTTTGGAGAGAAGGCTGCACTATCGCTGCTGTACTTTTACTTTTCTGAACTACTGCAGAGGTGTAGTAATGCCATATTTAAAAAGCAGTATTTCATTTTTTTGTAAAGAACAAGAATCTCCACAGCAGA